ACATCTAATGTTGTTTGTACACTCCTTACTTCACATCGATGGCCAGGTTCTGTATTTTTTATTTTTTCTCTCCCTCCTTTCCCTCGCAACTGTCCATCACGTTTTTGTTTAGTGAAACAGCAACAGCGATAATTTATGGCGTTCTTTTCTTGTCATCCAGGATTAATATGTCAGAACGATTGTGATCTGCGACACTGTCGGTGAGTACAGGGTGGTAGAAGCAGATGATAGTGGCCATCCCGAAGCACGCTCACTGAATGATGTAGATAATACGGCTTTTTCTGATGTTGTTAGCCAGGATCAACAAATTAGCTGCAGTTCCAACAATTGGTTTAGAATCGAAAGCTTCAAATCATGTTTGAGCTACTCGTTGCTGAAATAAGTTGAAGATTTCAATTGTAGTGTCCTTGCTGCTACTCTAACATCGGCGTTCTAACAGCTGACTGTTTTATCGATAAAGCGCGACACTAAATAGTTAAGGATGAATGAATGCGTCAGGAATAAATTATTAAAAACTATAACTATGTTAAACATTTACAGTTCAAACGGCAAATGGTTTACCATTTTTCCTGGCCGTTCCTTTTACCACTGCAGATGGTTGCGTTTGGCTTGTCAACAGTAAATTCTGTACGGGTTTTCATTCCTGACTGATAAAGAGTTGAAGTGTGAATAGCTGGAGTTTAACCAGTGAGTCATCCAAGACTAGATTTTAGGGCATACGCCTGGATTGCACCGCTCCCTTGCTTCTGGCTGTTTTGAAGAGGTAGCGGCTCCATGATATTTGAACACCTTCAATGTCAGATGCATCTCGCATTGTTTTGTCTGCTAAAGCCACCTGGCGTTTATAAAGAAGGATGTTCCAAGAGCTGGTGCTCCTCATATTCACAACATGAACACCATAGGTTGTTATTCCACTCGCTTTAAGGATTGAGTGCCCAGGTTAACTCTCGGAATGGAGACAGATTTTCTTCATATAGTTAGAAAATCACTTCTGCTGACGTCTGATACCACTGATTGAAAAGTACTTAGCAGGCTGGTGACAATGAGTATGCTTGAGGGTGGTTGGTATCAACATATGCCTCTCTTGGAACTAGAGCACTCGCGTTTTTGCCTTCTTGATAGCCGATCCATTAGCTCGTAACACTCATCACGTGAAACCCATTAAAGTAGACTACAGACAAATAAGAAGTTGTTTTTTAAAAAGTTTTAATTATTTACGAATATTTGTTTTATCGTTTGTTTTAACTGTCAGATATTTTCCTTCATAATTGTAATTAATATTTGCCATAAAGTCTCATTGTGACCTGTTCAAGTTTTCGAACGTTCATCCGCAACGTTGTCAAATTTTAGCTCCTGATGCATCACATACGAGACTGTCTCCCGGATCTGAAGTCGCGAGTGAATTTGCAGGCTGCTCAATTTCAGATGTTGCTGAATTCTTACGGTGGTCCAGTGGATGATAAAGTAATTTTGATAGTTATGAATGTTGTTGAAAATTTGGCAGCTGTTTGCTGTTGAAATTCCTGGTTGATAACGTTGAAAACATGAGCGCGATACTGTTAGTTCGATTGAGAAAGAATATTTTAAGGGGCGTTCAAAAAATGGTGTAAACTAAACAACGCAATCAGCACAACAAGGTTAAAAATCTTCGTTTTTCCTTTCAAGGATCTCATCATCCGACTTATTCTCGTTGTGGATGCGCCGGGAACGCAGATCGACGTCCCTTCAATTTTGTCTGTCTGTTGTTCTCTCTCCACTGCTTACCAAGTAATTTGACCATTGGTACAAATCGCATCGCATCATTCACTCTGTAATATGTATTTTATTCGGCTTGATGCCCTAGCCTGCACCAACTTTCTGGTTTCTTCTTTTTCTAACATTTTTTGGCGATTAGTTATTCCCTGTTCCTTCCAAGACACCAACTTTGCCGAATCTCACAGAAATGAATCATTGTTGAAATTTGGCCGCCGAAGGATGTCCTTGACAATGGCAAACAGCACTATCGTCTCACTCTACCGTAGTGAGCTCCTGCCTCTTTTCCGGTCCTCACTTTGGCAAGGTATTTAGAAGATATCGTGCTGCTGTTTCAAATTGATTAACATTATCCTAATCCATTTAATTTTACTGTTTTGCTGTACGAAGACGTCATTCAGCTACCACATTCTTTAAATTTGGGCTTAGAAAGTGAAACCATGTCTCTTCTTTACTACTTTTTGGGCTGAGTCTGCCTACCGATATGGAATCAGTTTTTTTCCGCATATAGCTTCGAATGGTGGAATAGAGTGAAAAAAAGTTAGTTAGTTAAAGTTAGTAAAAATTTTTAATATGTCATGGCAATCAAAGGTAATATGTAGAAAAAGCCACAAAACAGTTAACGTTATTGTCGACGTTTATCACTGCTGTATTATTGGTGTGCTGTATGTCTGCATATTTTTGGAGCACTGTGTTTGTACCTTTACAGTTGTACTGAGCAGTAAAAGATTTTTTTGCTATACACGACATAATAAGGGCATTCATGCATAATTAAATAGTTTTTGTTTTGTTTTCCGACGTTATGTCTGATTTTTTATTAAAATATTCATAACATTTTGTTTCAGTTAGAAAATTGCTTTTTGCTCTGATTTAGCGGTGATTGTGATACAATCCATTTTCAACTTCAATTATAGAGTGGAAAGCTAAGTCCACTAAATTTATTCAGTGGCTCAAGATGAACAGGTTGAACCCTTATACTTTGAGTTTACACCTTTTCTTATTATCATATTGAATAAGCGGCCATCAGGTGTTTAAAGGCGAATTGCATCCTCAGGATGCAGGCGCTCGCATCAGTCAACTTTGACGTACCTCTCGCCCATTCTGATATAATCACATCGGAATTCTCTGCTGTTCCTGTTGATTACACTCGGCGGTTTCGCTGAGGCACTGTAGGGTAAATTCTTTGTTCATGGGAATAGCGGGTAGGATAAATTATTTCCCTCTGTTTTGATTCGAACCGCTTAGTTCCGGTGTTTAAAGGTGATCTTTAGCCATTGTGCCACTTCGTTCCCATATTAATGGCAGCACTCGTTGTCTTAGTTGTTCTCCTCACTGCCGATGCTTACCGTTGTTTATAGTCCTTGTTTTTTTCAGGCTCAAACGTTGTTGCAGATCGTTACTCGGTTCGCCACGTCTTACTGCAGTACCGT